GGTGCACTTTCCGGTAGGTGTCAGCAGCTGGCCTCCGGCTCCTCGAATTTGCGGCCCCGTCCATTCCATTTTTACCTTCTTGAGTTGGTCGGCCAGATTCGCACTCATTATTGAAAAGTCCGCACCAGTGTCGACCAGTGCGGTCACGTCGTGACCGTCAATTGAAAGTGTAATGTCGGCGGTGACAATCTCGTCTTTCGTCGGTTCATTCGAAATGTGTGGCACTTCATGCGGCGGCAATGGGGGATTTTCAAATCTTCGGCAATTCGCAACCTTCCCCCCTAAGGTCGCTGCTTTTAGTTTCCCCGGCGTGGACTGGGAGACCTTCCTCTCGCCATGTCCGTGGTGCTACCTCTATTAGATCGGGAAAAATGACCTGGGGAGGGCGAGCGTGACCGGAACCCAGGAGAAACGTCTCGCGGGATCGTCGCGCTCGTTCCAACGTTGCGTCTTCCGTCTAAATAGCGCCGAGGGGTAGTGGACGGAAATCCTTGATACCCGGCAACGCGATGAGGACAATACCGCACGATGTGGCCTGCTTCCCCACAATGGAAGCACAGGGGCCTGTAGTCAGGGGTACGCCATATGTCGGTTTTGCGGAGTGGGGGGTCGCATCAGCGTCGACGTTTCCCTGTAGTACCAAGGCACTGTCGGCGGCTGTTGCTGGTGGCACTGTTGAGGTGGCGGCACGTTAGATCTAGGCTGTCGACGGAGAATATCTGCATATGTTGGCCTAACTATTTCAGTGTTTGGCTCGGGAAGTGAAAGCGCTTGCCTTATTTCTTGGCGAACAACTTCTGTGACCGACGCAATCGCGCAGTCATTGGGTGTGGCGGCGAGCTTCTTCACCTCTTCTTGCACAATTTCGCGTATCAGGTCACGCAAAGAACGCTCGTCAGGAGTCACCGTGGTCACGGCGGTTGCGCTGATTTGTCCGCTGTTGTTTGGACGGTCGTACTGGCGGTACCGTAGCTGTAGTGCGCGTTCTATGGCGGTCGCCTCCTTCGAAAATTCGTCGACGTTTGAAGGTGGGTTCCGTACGAGACCAGCAAACAGCTGCTCTTTAACACCACGCATGAGGTGGCTGATCTTTCTGTTCTCGGACATGTCGGGATCGGCTCGATGAAAGAGACGAGCCATATCCTCAACAAACATAGCAGCAGACTCGTTGGGCTTTTGTATCCGTGATTCAAGGAGTCGTTGTGCCTGCTCCCGCCTTTCGGTGTTTGCGAAGGTGTCCAGGAACTTCCGCCGGAACTTGTCCCACGTTGACCACACGCGATTCGTGAACCACGTGCGAGCCCCGTCTTGAAGAGGGAAATACACGTACCCCAACTTCTGTGCGGCGTTCCACCCGTTAACGTTGGCTGTGCGCTCGAACTCCTCAAGCCAGTCATCTGCGTCCTCATATGAGTTGCCATGGAAGTCCACAGGAGTTTTAGGGGTGAAAACAGTCACCTGTGTCGTGCTTGGGCTCGTCATGGTGGGGCAACTGCTTCCCGGCGCGGTCATGTTTTCCGTCCAAGGACCGAACTCTGGGCTCAGGCCTAACAGGCGGCGGCTGGCGCGGTGAACGGGTGTTTCGACGAGCGGAAGTCTTTGTGGACTAGATCCCGGGCTGTTGGAAGGTGTCCTGGACATGTACCCAGCTCCTCCACCAGTGTCACGACGCAGACACAGCAGGAGTTCGATATAGAAGAGCTCACTTTAATTAAAAATGAAAGGCGCTCGTAAAGAGGACCGGGCAAGAGCTTCGTCTTCTTCTCTGGCTGTGCGAGCTCTCCTCTGCAGGTTGAATGCGGCAATATTTTCAGTCAGTGTTTACCGTGAATGATGGAAACATTCCACATGTTAACCCATGGAACCAAATACGATTAGAAAGACCTGTTGTAACTGAGCGTGGTCTGTTTATTTAGACTTTAACTAAATATCGACACTGAAAATTGACTGGGACCAGAAGATATGCCTACTATGATCCTAAAAAGATATGACGAAGGGTTAGCAAAATGCCTGTGATTAGTTTTCAGTAATCCACTGTTGTCCTCTACATTACCACAAGATAAGAAAGTTGCGAAAATTATTTCAGTATATAGGTCCGGTGCGAAAGCTGGAATCTCTAATTATTGGCTCACCAGCTGATTTAGTGAACTTCTTGAACACATAGTGCTTCAAAACATATCCACATACCTTAAAGAAGAAAGCATCATTTCACTTTGTGAACACGGCTTTCGAAAAAAACCTATTTACTGTCACCAAGCTTGTTGAGCTAATTCACGACATATCACTCAGCATCGATAATAAAAAACAAATGGACCTTCTTTTACTAGACATTTTAAAAGTTCCGGATCAGGCCTCACTAAGTAAATTCATGACTAAAACTGAATCAGCTCTAGGAAACAGACCCATCATCTCTTGTATACAAGATTACCTTCGGCCCGCCACGGTGGTCTTGTGGCTAACGTACTCGGCTGCTGACCCGCAGGTCGCGGGTTCGCATCTCGGCTGCGCCGGCGGCATTTCCGATGGAAGCGGAAATGTTGTAGGCCCGTGTGCTCAGATTTAGGTGCACGTTAAAGAACATCAGGCGCTCGAAATTTCCGAAGCCCTCCACTACGGCGTCTCTCATAATCATATGGTGGTGTTAGGACGTTAAACCCCACGTATCAATGAATCAAGATTACCATGTCAACCGTTTGCAGTTCGTAGAAATTTATTATCAGTCATCCACTCTTTCGCGTGTTAGATCTGGAGTGCTTGCGGACGTACACTGGCTCCAGTTCTTTTCCTGATCTTTAACAATGATCTACCATATAACATTTGTGCCGAATTTGATTGTTTGCGGACGATTGTATACTTGATCATAATATTAACTCTTCCGAGGATTACATATCATAAAAAGATCTGCGCTCAGTTTTTAAATGATGTACTGACTAACAAATATCCCTTAAGGTTAAACATTTGGCTGCCCTAAGAGTTACCACTAAAAACACGTGTCAGAGTTCAAATATACCGCAAATAACACACAGCTATAGCTTGAAATCAAGAAAACAAATATCTCGGTTTATTACTTACTCCCGATTTTACATTGAACTCCCACATCAACACCATTACATTAACTGCCTCAAAAAAGCTCTTCTTCCTCAGCAGACACCTCTGTCTTCCGCCACCTGACATCGAGTATTTAGCATACAAAACTTTTATCCGAACAGTTCTCGCATATGCTAACTTTGCATGGTTCCCGTACACTAATATGTGAATGATAAATTTGAATGCAGGGATGCATAGAAAGACCATTAGGTTTGTATTTAACAATTATGAAACTTCAGACTCACCGACTGAATTACTGAAAATGCTGGACTTTTTAGCCTATAAAATAGATGTAAACTAACCAGATTAAAATTTATGCATCAACTAGTACACTATCAAGTAAACATTGACACCACTACATATATATCAATTACCTCATGTGGACCTAAACGTAACACACAATCTATTACACTAACTGAATGTTCACACCATTATAACTGCTTTAAATACTCCTACTTCCCGAGAGCCATAGCAGAATGGAATGAACTAGATTCATCCGCTGCTAATTTTCACTCACTAAAAAGATTCATCACGACATTCCAGGAAGTCCTATTAACACAACACGGTTCTGTTATGTTATTCCTAATATATTTATTTTTTGCGCGATTTTTTCTTTCTGTTACTCTTCTTTCTAGTAGAATGATGTTTCTACGGCATATTCTGTAGTTAACTTAAGTTTGCATTTATGTATTTAGTGCATTACTTATAACTTAGTATATTTTGTTCATTGTTTTTATGTATTCTGCTGCGACCTTCTCGTTTTCCGGCCTTGATCTTGGTTTAAAGAGGCATATATATATATATATATATATATATTTAACCTTGCGGCAACCGAAGTTATTCTTCTATATATATATATATATATATATATATATATATATATATATATATATATATATATATATATATATATAGTCCAGTAGATCCTCCGTGAGCGGTCACAACGTGGTTTATTTCGACGTTTCGGCCTAGAGTCTGGCTTTCATCAGGCCTTCATCGGCCTAGAGTCATCAGCCTTTTGGCCTTAATCAGCCTAGAGTCTGGCCTTCATCCTGATGAAGGCCAGACTCTAGGCCGAAACGTCGAAATAAACCACGCTGTGACCACTCAAGGAGGATCTACTGGACTATATGCAACGCTATGGCCACTCAACCACCATGCCTGTCTATATATATATATATATATATATATATATATATATATATATATATATAAGAAGTAAATAAAAAAAATCAAGCACACAAAGAAAGCAACACTTGATGCTCAGCGCAGTGAGTAGTGATTACTGTTGCCTACTGTCGAACCTAACTCATGGCGAGCATTAAGACACTGATTTTTCAGGCACTTAATTATTTAGGCATGAGTTTCAAGAGCCATGATGATTATTGCTCCACGTGCACAAACATAAGGTGAGTCGAGTTTCTTGCATGCTTTCCGCTGTTGCTTATTTGACATTGAAGCGGTAACAAATATAGAAAGAAAAACATGAAATTGGAATGAAGCAAACTGACAACTGTTTCCGAGGCGTACACAACTCCTACCTAATTTGTTGGCAGGTGGTAATAAAACTAATCTCAGAAATAAACGTGTATTGAAAGAGCGAGCGCTTTTCTGAGAACAATACGTTGAACTCAAGTGGAGGTCAGTGGGGCCGACAAATCAAGCTTCTCGGGCCGCTTTTGAGAGGGCATATTTACTTTAATAAAACTTGTCTGGTACAATCGTCTCCTCAGACTCGACGTTCTGAGTGTCACGTGACAGTGCGGTCTTCACTTACAATAGCCTACAAAGAGTTCGAATGAAAATGCATTGTCTTAATATTACGAATACCTGCATTGTGTTTCATTTGTCACAACAAACTACTGTAAGCCCACGGCTGCGCAGTTCTGCAGTGACTGCAGCTGAGGGAAATATGACCTTGCAAGATGAGTCTGTACTAGCTTTTCATGATCATCGCACTCAGTGGTCAACACGTGAAAGCGCGTTCAACGGGAGCTAGCATGTTAGCATCGAATATCATCTTACTGATATGCGGTGTGTGCTATGGTCAAACCATCTCAGGTGCGTATTATATTCGTATTTGAAAGCAATATATAACAGCTGTCAGCACTTCAAGTTGCGTTCTATAGCGATTTTCACCTTTGACATTCACCGTTACTGTATTTGAGACTAAATTTCTTGAAACACCCAAAAGTTCTCAGACATTTAATAGATTCTTTTCATGCAAAGCACTCAGTAGCGTGTGACGTTGTCCTTTTTTTTGCTTTCAGCCAAGTGCCATGGCGACGGCCAAAGCGCTTGGGCGAATTAATTAGTTGAGCGCATATTGTAGACTTGCCTGGCTTTCAGCCAAGTGCCATGGCGATGGCCAAAGCGCTTGTGGAAATTAATTAGTTGAGCGCATATTGCAGACTTGCCTGGTAGGACGGATGCACTGGCGTGTAGATTACCTAACTTAAAGTCAGCATTCACGTTAAAGCACAGACGTTAGTTTTGTTGTTATTGTTGTATAGTTATAAATGGTTAAGAACAGCACTGCAAAAAGCGAGGACACAAAGGAGGCACACACACACACGCGCACGCACACAGACACACATACACACACACGCACACACACACACACATTCACACACACACGCGAAAACACACACACACACACACACACACACACACACACACACACACACACACACACACACACACACACACACACACACACACACACACACACACACACACACACACATCGCAGCTTTCAACAGTTTTATTATGTGATACTATGGCTACTTCTAGGGCCAAAAATACAATATGCGCACTTCTGTTGCGCAGTAGAACGGGATTATTACTAGGCATCAAGACGGACACCAAGAAAATCATATTCCTTTCTTGTCAGCTGAAGAGGTCATACAATTAGATAACGCTTCGTTATCTCTTTTTAGTGGTTAGCAAGAAAAGACATTCGTGTCCACGATGTCATGAGTTCTCGCGTGGTTGTTGCGGTAGGAGCTTTACAAAACGCGTCGTGTGTGTGGGCGCGGTAACCTACGCCATTTCCGGTTCTTTTCTTGTCGCCACGCTGCATTGCCATGCAAGGTTCCAGCCATTCGCTGATACAAACTGCGAGAGCAATGTTTATATGAAAAAGGTTCAAGCAATTACAGTGAAATCTAAAGTTCTCCAGCTGGATTTTTATACCTAGATAAGAGACAAAGCGCACAGGTTTACGTAAACAAGTTTCTCTCACTGATTCCCAGAAATCAGAGGATCTGCCGAATTTTTATACTCTAGTGTTTTCGTTTACCATCACCATCATAATTGTCTCGTAATCTTTATTTTTATGGCACGTCAATTCCTTAGGTAATGCGTACCTGCCCAATTAATGAAAAAGGTAAATTGTCAGACAGGAGAACTTTAACACCAGGAAAAACTAACTTTCATAATTAAAAACAATAATACTAAACTATAACCAGCGATAATACTGAAAGCATTTTCCTTTGCAGCCTTGCAAAAAGAAGGGCGAAAGCAGTGTGGACGAAAGATAGACTATCGAGAGATAGAATGAGCATCTAGTCTTTGATTGCTTTTTCCGATGCGCGAAGGCAACTTGCTCAGTTATGCTAATTTCTGAAATGGCTGTATTGTTCAGAACCTACCGTTATTGCCATTACGTGTCGTAATTTACGTTTCTAGGAACCAATAGGCATGGTAGACGGAACTTTAAATAAAGGTAATAAGTAGTGTTTTGCTGCACGACCACCGCTGCAAAGCCTATACACACCTGAACAACTAAAGAAATGGCAGAACACACGTTTTCTGTTGTAATATGCATGCAGCAGAAGACGAATTTGAAGCAAACTGGACTCATTTTTATTAGGAAAGACGCCACTCTCGGTTGCTTTTTCACGTTTTGTTTAGTTCTACTTTGACGAAAGCTGTTGTGCTGCTTTCAACACGACCAGACATATAAGCTTTGAAGGAGTAGTGCAGCATGGGGGCAATAAGAAGCTTGCAAATTAGGGTCCAAAAAGTTCTAGGTTCCCAAAAGCTTTGTGTTTTTTTGGCCTTTCATTACGCTTAAGGTTAGAAATTTCGAACAGGCTCCTAAGCTGACTGCTTGAGCCTTAAGCTTGCAGTGCTACGGTAATTAGCAATGGAAGTTACAATGAATAATACATGTAATCAGAAGCTTTTGCAGGAATTTGCTTTCGGTACATTGCCTTTCAGTCACTTTTTCTTTTACATTGACTTTGAGATACAATGGTTTGAATCAAAATTTTTTGTTAATTCACCCGTGCCATAAAGGCTACAAGCTGTAAATTGGTGGCAGATCTTAAAAACGACATATACTTTTCTTGTCACGGTTTTTGTGTGTGAGATGAAACAAAGTGACAGTTTACGCAATATTTGTTTACTTATAATTATCGGTTTTACTAAAACTCACTCATGACGAAAGCTTACTGAAAAAGTCCCTAAAACTCACTCAGGACTTACATATTTTGCCCAAAGGGCTCGCACCATTAATCACCAAACTTTTCTTGAGCCAGACCCACTGTTCCCTTGACTCACAAAACATTTTCTTCATGTAGACCCACCGGGACACAAACTCATCAAAATACTAATTACCCGGCTCGCTAAGACTCAGACTCACGGCTCAATTTGAGTCTGAGTGAGTCCAAATCAGTCGACTCATGAGTCCGCCAGGATCAGAATTAAAAGGTCCCTACTAATCCACAATTGAATGATGGCAAGTGGGTGAAGCTTCGGGGGATCACTAATACCCGAACATTCTTCATTTCTTTCAAAGTGGACGATATGGTTAGTTGGTGAAAAATGATCTAAGTGTACTACGCGGTAGAAAATACGGACGGGAAAAATACAAGGACAAGCGAGACTATCAACTCAAGGTTTATTCATCCCACATTGGATGTATATATGAGAACCAGGAAAAAAGAGAAGAAAGAAAGGGAAGTAGCTATAAAAAAACAACCTCAGACTTCATATACGCGAAGCATGAGGAAGAACATCAGATGAATCACATGCACGCGCCATTTGTCTGAAATTGAAGCTCCTTATTTAGGAGGGCAACCGATGGTTTACTCAAGCAGTTGTCAGGTTCTTGAGCCATTCCCTCTGCTTCAACAATCATGCGCATGTTATCATCTTTGTGCGTGTACAATACAACTGCGTTTTGAACAGTGCATTGCAATCTTCATTCTTCTTTTCTTTTTACCATTCTTTCGTTCTTTCCTCCTTTCTTTGTTTCTTTCTTTTTTCTCAAAGTGCACTCCATGACTTTGAGAGAGAGCTGAGGGTGATTGCTTTATATAGCTCATGGGGCAACGCAGCGAAAGAAACAGCGTGACACGAGCGCACCAGCTATCATCCTTCTTGTCTTCTACTTACGATCTGTGCGCTACCAGCCGGCGCTCCCAGCATGTGCAAGCCACGCTGGGCACTACCAGCATTGGCACCAGCCATGGCACTACCAGCATTGATGTACGCAGACGATATAGTGCTAATGGCCGACAACAAGGAAAATTTGCAGAGATTGATGGACATCTGCGGTAATGAGGGAGATAGGTTAGATTTCAGATTCAGTAAGGAAAAATCAGCAGTCATGATTTTTAATGACAATGAAGGTAGTGAGCTTAGAATACAAGCGGTCACGCTAGAAATAACAGATAAATACAAATATCTGGGCGTATGGATAAGCAATGGGGCTGAGTACCTAAGGGAACACGAAATATACGTGTCGACTAAAGGTAACAGGAATGCAGTGGTAATGAAAAACAGGGCACTGTGGAATCACAATAGGTATGATGTTGTGAGAGGAATATGGAAAGGGGTCATGGTTCCTGGTCTGACGTTCGGCAATGCGGTCTTGTGCATGAGATCACAAGTTTAAGCAAGATTAGAAATAAAGCAACGTGGAATAGGTAGGCTTGCCTTAGGAGCTTACGGGAATACACCAAATCAGGGAGTACAAGGTGATATGGGATGGACATCATTTGAGGGCAGGGAAGCTAGCAGCAAGATAAAGTTTGAGAAGCGATTGAGAGAAATGGGGAAGGAGTGTTGGGCTAGGAAGATATTCAACTACTTGTACCTGAAGAATGTCGATACAAAATGATGGAAGCGAACCAGAAAATTGACTGGTAAATACTTAGAAAACAGCAGGGGGCCAAACCAAAAAGAATGACCGGTTAAGAAGAAGGTGAAGCAAGCTGAGACAAATATGTGGCGAATTAGCATGATTAAGAAGTCATCACTAGAGATCTATCAAACTTTTAAGCAGGAAATTGCTAAGGAAAGGACCTATGATAATACTCGGGGTAGTTCTCTACTGTTTGAGGCTAGGACGGGAGTATTGTGAACCAAGACGTATTGGGACAAATACGAAGGGGTAGACACGGTATGCAGTGCGTGTGGAGAGGAAAAGGAAAGTGCTGAACACTTGATAATGTTTTGTGAAGGGCTTCACCCTATAGTTCAGGATGATGGCACAGAGTTTTTCAAAGCACTGGGGTTTAGGGACAGGGAGGGCAAAATAGACTTTAAGCGGGTAGAATTAACTAGAAGAAGGTTATAAGATTCGTGGCTAAAATCAAGGCACGAGTGAAAATTAAACCCTTCACTGCAAAGTACGAATCCTCAACCTCACTATAATTATTACGGCTTGGTGGCGCTAGCCACCACCCGATCTAAAGGGTACAGCCATATCCATTCATTCATCCATCCAGCCAGGACAACGAACATCGGAGGGACAAAACTAAGGTGCTTCACCCCTAATATTGTACCATTGTTTCAATGCTTTCCAACACCAAATCTCCCGTTCACTGGGCTTATCTTCGTGCCTTTGATACAATAGCTTCAAATACGAGTAATGAGTGGCTGCAAATTAGCAGGGACATTTCTCTTGAAACAGATGCGAACATAGAATAATTTTATAAAGAACGTCCCTAGAAGAGGAGCTGCAGGGGCTGGGTCATGGCACTCTCTTAGAAATTCACGCATCTGATCAATAAACATCCAGCTGGTGTATGAATTATACTGCTTTGGGATACGTGTCAGTAGATATGAGTATAAATGCGAGTCCAGGTACCTCGAAAGGCTTCTTGATGGGCGATTTGATGCCTGTTATATTGCAGTATATGTGCGCAAACATTGGTTTAACACTGAATAAAAGAAGTAGAAATAGAGAGTGCAAATTATCAACTGGTTTATTCGTTCTTGAAACAGCCTGCCTCATAGGCTCCTTCCAACGACACAGGGAAAGGAGGCAAGTAGAAAATGCGTATACCTTTATTGCCACCTCTTGTCGAAGAAATCTGCGGCTGGTATTAATTCTGTAGATAAGTAGATAGGACGAAAACGACATCAGCTGTTTGAGAATAAAGTAGACGCTTCGAAGTGCACTGCCATATTTTTGAGACACATCTTTAAGGGGAGACTTGTCGGGTAGCCCGCTGTTTATATAAACAAAATATTGCAGAATGATCGCCTACCTTATGCTAGCACAAGGTTTCAAGTAATGTTGACTGCGCACCTTAATACATTTTTTGGCTCTGCAGTTTTTCTGCTTCTACGTAAGTTGTTTCTGACTAAAAATTTCGAAACTACAATTCGGGCGAGCAAACACCGACCCAAGTGTAGTAATTGCTACAATTTACTTTCCAAAAACATGAAATGACTATCAGAAACGCCGTCGTGTAGACATCCAGGAATTTCTACCACGTGGTGTTTTTAGCACACTCTTAAAAACAGGGCTAGGCTGGGTCTCCACTATTTGTTTTGGCATATCAGTTCTAGACATACCATTTGGACAATATCAGTGGAAAAGGTAAACCCGTTTTGATTGTGGCTTTCTCTCTGTGGCCTTAAACATATATTTTGTGCAATCATGAAACCGCGAAGAAAATGGCATAATTGTCACGTATCCAAATGAAGAAGACAGGACTGCGCTACAGGGATTTCTCGGAAACATAGAACTTAGTTCTGCCAAATAGAGATTAGGTTATCACTAACTTTGGTTAAATTTCTCTTACAGGAATGCGACCAACTGGCGTCTACTTGACAATATCGTCGTACAGTAACCGTGGAATCAAGCCCTTTTTTGAAGTGAACTGGTTCGGCATGCCACAGCAATACATCGGTGTGGTGTCAGCAGTACTGTCCACAAAAAGTCGACCTCGAAGCTCTTCCGATATTCTAGCTAGCCAAATTGTCAAGAACCCCACCGAATCGTACACTACACGAATTGTGGCACCGAGTTTTAACACCACCGTACTAATCGAAGGAAGGTGCCTCGGATACTGGGCCCTCATAATGGAAACGTCGTCTGCCGTCAAATCGTCGAGTACTGCGAAAGTTCTTTACTCTTCATGCTTCACACCTCAACCTCGATGGATGCGAGACAACTGCGGCACCGTGTTTGGGCTCAGGCTAACAGACATGCTCATCCCAGGAACACACAATGCCGGAATGTACAAGGCAGGGCCCATGGCCCCCCATGAACAGCTGATATATGACCAAGATCAAACCATTTGGCAACAACTTGCCTACGGTATTCGGGGCTTGGATTTGAGGGTGCAGTTTAGCCGTGGCGACTATTACATCACGCATGACGTAATCCGAGGAAAACCAACCGTACGGGAAGTTCTAAGAGAGGTTCGTGATTTCGTGGTACGTACGGGCGAAGTGGTGCTCTTAGATTTTCACAGGTTCCCGAAAGGCTTCGAGAAAAAACGCAAAATTGCCACAGATCGACACGAAGGACTCGTGAAGCTAATTGTGACTGAACTAGAAGATGTACTCTTGAAAGGCGCGGACTACATAAAGACTATGGGTGAAATATTAGGCGGGTGTAGTAGCAGAGGCCGACCGCAGGGTCGTGTGTTGGTGTTCTACAATTCTAGAGAATACCAGGGACCTTACCAAGAGTATCTAGCGCCTGGAGTAAGCCAAAAGTGGCCTAACGCACAGTCTAAGAGTGCACTGATGCAATATCTAGAAACAAAGGCATGCTTACGCGGTGTGCACTATATGATTGCAATAATGGCGGAACTCACACCCAAGTTTCCCAAGTTTCTTATTAGCACACGCAAGTTAGCGAAGTGGATAAATCACAAAATTACGGAGTTTTTCAGGCGTCGGCAGATGAAGTACTCAGGTATTATTGCGACAGATTACTTTCTTGGAAACGGTATAACTGATGTAGCGATAGAAGCCAACTGTTTGAGGGGTCGCCAGATGCTACGTAACCACAATATGGGTCCCCGAATGCATTAATGGCGACAGTATGAAGCAGAAGGTTTGAGAAAAATGTAGTTCCGGTTTAGAAGGACTGCAATTTGAGCGAGTTTGTACTTCAACATTGTGGTATATTGAGAGCGTAAATAGACAAGAAACGAAGGAGCGATCGTCTGTCTACCTCTGTCTTTCGTTTCTTGTCTACTTACGCACTAAGAATACCACTTTAGTTCCTGTGCATTCCAAAGCTGTATTGCTTTCTGCACGCATTAGCTCAATTGTAACTTCGAGAAGCACACGCAAAATAAAATTTTGCAATTAATACGCTTTTGGCTTGAGAAACAAATACCAATTATTAACTGAGGTAAATCCTGAAAGCCGGTTCTACCATACGTTAACTCACACTTGTTCTTAGTAGCCGAATAAGCATATTTCCAAATCCCATGCCCACATTTTGATTGCAGGCAAATATAAAGGAGCTTTGGGTGCTGAATCGTACGACAACTTGATTAAGGAGCATATATTGTACGGTTTTGAGATTCTGAAATTTATGGGCACCGAATAAATATAATAACGTTACCCGATCTGTAGAAATTGTTCATTTGAGTATTTATCTGGCGATAAGTATTAATGTGTTGTAGGAATAGTAACTAAATTCTGAAAGACTAGACAACAACAGCAAACAGCTATAATAACACTATTCGAAACTAACGTAAACGACAGTGAACGTATGTATAGAAAATAAAGTTGGCTTCAAGAAATAGTTTTGTGTTTGTGTGTTCTTTCCTACATTTGCCAGCAGTCGACTGTGTAGAGTGTTATCTGTGTGTGGACATATAGTTCCTTATCACTTCAGATAAACTTTTGCTACAGGAATTAACAACGGTTATTGAGTTATTGTTGTTATTTTGTACTTTCATACTTACGTTCTATTGGACTATCAGCAAGATGACAGAAAACTAACAGCTTTTATATTTTGTTCAACTGAAAAAAGTACCCCCCGCAGTCTGGTGGTCAAGGAGTATGACTGTAACCCAAGCGTCAAGGTTTCATCAAAATTCATAGTGAGTGATGTGGTTCATAATTTTTCTGAAAAAGAAAACACAAAAACATACATGTACATCGGTAAACAAACACAGGACAGATTAACGCGTTTACCTCCCTAGGTTAATGTATATTTTTTTGCTTAAGGTTTACCAATAGTCATGCGTTCAATTGCTGGCTCCAGTGAATGTAATATTATAAAATATAGACGAGTCTACTCGTGTTTAGGTTAGTATATTTATCTTGTTACATTTCAAACACATCGTAAAAAGAATGAAATAAGCATAAATTATAACCAGTGTTCTTCATTATTGCATTCCAAATATCGCCATTACTTAACACAACCAACAGATAATAATGTTAAAGAAAGCAGAAAACACTTCTGGTATATTTAAATGGCAGCATACCAATCCTGGTGTAAATGAAAATGAATTGTAACAAACAAATATATGAAATGCTTTCAGTTGATGGTGGATCTAGAACCGTCGATTGACTTGCCCAACTTGGCACTGTTTCCACAAATCGCGCTGGCAGGCATCCCCAGGATCAAACCCGCAAAATTAACCACTAAAGTTTAATGAAAAGCGGCCACCAGCATAGCCCAATTTGATGGTTGTGGGCCCCTAATTAACCATTGCTTACACAATAACAATATTGTTTAGATAAAGGGGTGCAAGATAACAATAAAAAATGGCAGATCCCAAGTACCTTGCAATAGACATTATGTGAACCATGCGGAGGGAAGGTGACCGTGTTGCATTTTTTTAATTCAGCGACACGTCATGCGATCGCGCTAAATATATGTACAAATGTTGCATGCACAGACATATGTTCAAAAGTTTCAGATGTTTATGTAGCCAGATGTTTGCACTTGCGCAACGAGGCTAACTGGAACATTCATATTAGCAACACCAGAAGCTGATGTGTAGCGCTGTTTCAGATGTTTATGTAGCCAGATGTTTGCACTTGCGCAACGAGGCTAACTGGAACATGCATATTAGCAACACCAGAAGCTGATGTGTAGCGCTGATGCTCGCGGGGATGCTGGCCCTGGACACTGCTACATAAATGAACTTCAGCGCATGGCAACTAACCACAATTCACGTTCACCCGGCGTGACGGCAGTATCAAAGGAGTACATAAGTAATGTTTATAAAATTGGGTAGGTAGCACTGCAACCACTAGTGACGTTTCACGAAGATTGGCGTCTATTCGAAAAGTAGTTGCGAGTGATAAATTGCTTCATTGCAAAGCGGAATGCTTGGATTTGATTCGAGCTGACACCCTGACATTTATTTTTTGCATTCGTCGGCTCGACACTAACGATGTAGGGTATTTCTTAACGCTCGTGCGTTAAAATTGCCCATGTGTGTTCTCGTCGTTCCTGGGTAGATACTAAAAGTCAATTACCTGTGGCACATACCCGCATACGAGTGGCATATACTCAGCCGCTTGTATGCGGCTGAGTATGTGCCACTGTCTGGCGGGAAGTGTTTGACAACGTAGGCGACTTCATTTTGACGTTATTCATGTTTTTACCAGCGCGTCACATTCGTCATACCATCTTACCCTCCCATGCTAAATTTGGTTCGCGCCAAGTTAAGGGGGTGACCACGAGAGCACCCAAACGTAGTCTGCCAGATAAATAGACAGATACGCTCAAAGTCGCTGAACTTCGCTAAGAAATGCTTCGCATTTAAAACAACGTTTCGTAATAGGTTGGAGCATTGTGCGACCTACTCGTTACGCTATTTGCATTGTTTGACGCCGTCGTCCTTATTTTTCCGTTCTAAAGCGCTTTATTAGTCATATTAACGCAATTCTTTTTCCTACGCCAAGTCTGCCTAAGGCCTATTTGCGAACTTCTCCCAAGTACCGGCGTAGCTCAGTGGTAATATACTTGGCTGGCACGCAGTGGACCTGGATTTAAGCCCCACTGTGTCCTTGGTACTAAGCTTTTTTTTTTCTATTTCGCGATGATGGTTACGGACACCGGTGGCGGCGGCAGCGGCGGCTGAGGACAACTGCGGTGCCGCACGTGACCCGAGTTTTGCTCATAACTTCTTTCGCTGTAAAATAATAGTGTAGCTGCATCGTCGAAACATTGCTTATATCGTACGTAACACAACCCTTCATTTAATTTGAAGCTAAATAACATAGCTTTAACCTTCATGTATCGTTAAATATGGAGTGGTACAGAGAACGTAACACTTTATATCAGTTCACAAATATCACGTGATAGTTCCATGCCTAAATCTGGGTCTGTATCTATGTGTAACAGCATGACATTGTAACAAAAACACTTTTCGCAGAAAGAAAGAAGCACAATGCAGCTGCTCTCACGGGTAAGCGTATGGACAATACAGAAAAACGGAACACTAAGATTTTTCCCACCAATTTACCACATCATGCATAGAAGTGTACATTAGGACCAACCTTAAATGACTGTGTTAGGGCCCATTTATGTCGCTCTTTACTCTGACTTTTTAAGCTGTTTTTATATATAAGACACGTCGTACAGTTGACGCAAAGTATATACCGTTCAGTAAGCCGCCTCAGAAATGCCCCAACACATTTGTGGATACATAAGCAATTCTAACCAACTCCTGCGCACCACACTTTTGGAAGATCTTTTCAAATATATGTCACACACTTTGGAAATCATTTTAAGCACTGTGGCCGGAAACAATGGTCTGTGAGCAATAATTACGATGTAAATGTCAATGCAGCGAGAATATACACAACTATTAAAACGAATGAAAATCAACCAAGTAACGCTTGGGTGATTATATGATTGGCATAAGAACATTTTTTAATGATTCACAGTAGTCGCTCGAATGGTACAATATGATACGCGTAACTCGAATCAAAACACCCGACAGAAAAAATGATTTTTTTCTCTGCTTCATTACCTTGTGATTCAAGAGAGAAATAATAAAAGGCTCCTATGAAAACCTAAGTCTTCTACACTTCCCTTTGCCTAATTGCCCCGCCACGGTGGTCTAGTGGCTAGGGTACTCGGCTGCTGACCCGCAGGTCGCGGGTTCCAATCCCGGCTGCGGCGGCTGCATTTCCGATGGAGGCGGAAATGTCATAGGCCTGTGTGCTCAGATTTGGGTGCACGTTAAAGAACCCCAGGTGGTCAAACTTTCCGGAGCCCTCCACTACGGCGTCTTTCATAATCGTATGGTGGTTTTGGGACGTTAAACCCCACAAATCAATCAATCAATTCCTTTGCCTAATTTACAGTCGTTTTCATAAGTTGTGTATAATAGAAATAAAACCCGAAAGCGATATACTCGGACAATTTCTCCACTTTTTCATTGCAGCAAGATGTGTATCTCTCTTGACAAAAATAAATAAGATAATTATTCAGCAAAAATATATTAGGTGCATTTAAGGTAATTAAGGCAAATTCACACGCTCAATGCATCATTGCAAAAGTGGATTCCAGGTGTTTGCACGGCGATGAGGTGCACTGGATATTTAAAGAAAGTAAATGACATGTGTGGCCATTACAAATGCATGTACGTGCTCTGTAGACTACCGAACAATGGAGTTTGGCTGTCATTGTGATTGAAATATTTTGCATGAAAAAAATCTAACGTCTAACGTGATTTCAAGCTCATTCAAAAAATAGCAGGCCCAAAGAGACGACGCACCAAAAGGGAGAACCACAAACACGCGGGTTGACAACCACATCCAGTTCGCTTCCACACGCAGCTTATGGCACGTGGCAACATTTATTTAGTAGATCTCTACTACATTTGTCGTGGTTAAATATACGTATCTGCTAAAGTTTGGCCTATATTATCCTGCATTTCATATGATCGCTCAAGTAAATTGTAGGATGAAAGCCTTAAATGTTCCGTAATGAGATAGATTTGAATGAAAAGCTGGAATCAATTTCAAACTTTACAAGAAAAAAAAAGGCTTATTCCTTTGTCATAGAAATCAGTATAACACGAAAATGAAGCGTCTATTCACAAAGGAAGTTGAGCGTATAATGTGCATTGTTTCGCCACAATGGGCGAAAAAATGAATGCTACAACAACAAATTGTACTGTCAGGTGAAAACCGACCAGCGGCTTGAAACTCGCCACGTGCACCTGAAGCGGAAAGGTGCACGTGGCAAGTGAGCACGAGCGTGGACTCGCAACTGTCTTGGCCAAACAATGTTAGGGGCGGAGCTCTGAGTGTGTGGCTTGTTCTCTCGTAGTATGTTGTAGTAGCCACTTCCAGTTAGTTTTAAGAATTGCTCACTAGATCCTGGTGTGAGTATGTCCTTTGAAATATTATCACTAGATGGTGTTAGTGGCTAGCGTATAGTTGACGATTAAACAAGATAGAAGTGGACAGACAGACAGACAGACAGACAGACAGACAGACAGACAGACAGACAGACAGACAGACAGACAGATAAACGGAATGACGGACAGACGGACAGACAGACAGATAGATAGATAGATAGATAGATAGATAGATAGATAGATAGATAGATAGATAGAAATATGACAGACAGACACAGACAGACAGACAGACAGACAGACAGTAAAATAGCTAGATAGATACATAGATAGATAAATAGATAGAGTAGATAAATCGATAGATAGATAGATAGATAATAGATAGATAGAAATATAGACAGACAGACACAGACAGACAGACAGACAGACAGACAGACAGACAGACAGACAGACAGACAGACAGACAGTTAGA